AGGTGAAACTAAAGAGGGAACCGTTCGAAGTGACCTACTGCTTTTAAGCTCATATTTTGGGATATCGAGAGGACCGCTAGACTAGAATAACCCCAAAAGGATTCGGGCCCATGGCCTTCCTGTCTTGAGATATTGAATTTTCAAGTTCCTAGGTAATATAGCGGTTTGTAACATATATCACTGCATCATACCACGAACGAAAACGCATTACAAGCTAAACTTTTTCTCATCAACTATATTATTGCTATGGCTCCCATCAGACTTCTTGATAAATGACAACGGTCACACATTGAATTTTTTTCTGTACTACTAGTTATATTCGAAATGTTGCGATCGAGGAGATTGAGAGAAAATATTTATGCACGATAGTGATAAGCTTCGAAAAAATGCTCGAAGCAAAGAAATTTACGACAGTAAATGCACTGAATGAAGGGCAGCAAGTGACAGTTCGACTGCTGACAAAAGCTACCATCGACATTAAATCAAACTTCGTTGACGGACTCGAAATCCCCTGGATGTTGATCGACGTAATCTGCTGCGAACTATGAATACTTGATCGTAGGGATGAATAGAAATAAGGATAGCTGGTTGTGAATGAGAGAATTTAAGCGTATTATATTGTTTCGTGCCGATAAGTTAATGGCAATACCATCGAGTTGAATATGATCGAAAATACGCCGAGCAATCAATTTCCATTGTCTATTGAAATAAACATCGAGTGGTTGAATGCGCGATTTAGTATGGGCAGGTATTTCTAGTCTTTTACATCGTTTGATGCTAGAGTATATATTGGAATTTTGCTGACCAGACCAATAATCCGAGTGCAAGAGACAGTTTGTCGAAGCAAACGGGCTAAGAACGTGATCCCTCCAGTATTCCACTAATGAGGTGGTGAGCTTCCCTGAAGGACTGCATGTGACTCATCGGTTGCATAGTATAAGAGTGCGTTTAATGGAAGATTTTTCAGCTTCCGCAGTCTCATCAAAACCGGGATCAAGATTTTCATTTCCAGAAGCCGTACTTTCATCTTCAAAGTCACTAATTTCTTCGGCATCATCGTAATCAAGGACCATGTCTGAATCGATTTCGAACGAAGTGCAGTTGCAGACATTGTCGATTACTTTTGACAAAGAACTAATTATTTCTTCCTCATATGAATTTGTTCGGGGTCGTCTACGGTGTGGTTCTTCATTTTCAGTCACTCGATTAACTAACAGTTTCGCAATTCTCGTAGGACTAATCATCATTCTGGTTACACAGTTAAGTGAAAACAATATATCTTACGACGAAAACTCGCGCGAACCACGTGTATCGAAACATACTTTTGCTTATACATGTTACAAACCGCTATATTAATATAGCTGTCCATGTTTGCAGGGATTAGAGATGCACCGGTTACGGTTATAACCGAACAACCGATAGCGGTTATAACCGGTTATCGGTTGTAACCTACATCGGTTGTAACCTATACCGGTTGTAACTGATAGTTATAATCCGTATTCTCAGAGAAGTTTTATGACAAATAATTCTGAAATTTCAGCCTTCGTTTTTTTACACTTCTTCTATATTTCAAATAAGCAAATTAAACTATTTCTTGAAATAAATTTATTTATTACGGTGTAGAAAGCAAGAATTGCTATCTTCACAGTAAATGATGTATCTCTCAAGAAAATGATTGTTGATATCGATGGGTTACAGAGTTTAATGTCTTTTTTTCTTCTCTCGTTTCTCTTCGACATGTTGTAAACATTTTTTTCTAGAAGAATCTTATTATTTTCTTTATCTGTCTGTGACCTTTTCTTTGTTTCTAGTCGACGACATATGTATAATAAGTGTGGCTCATCAGTATGTATAGTCACCGTTGTGCGTCGAGAAATCGGCGGTATCAGTACAACCGCTCATCGGTTAATCGTAACCGGTGCATCTCTAGCAGGGATGCCAGACTTGCAACACTCTCCAATCGGACTAACTTTGCAAGTCTAACCACTCAGATGTTTTTGGTGTCTGTCTCTAGATTATTCAGATATTGGATAACGAAATCACATCAGCGACGAGATGCATGGTGCTAATAGAGCAGCAACACTCTTCACTACCTCTCTGGAGCAAGAGGGAAACTCGGGTTCTACTTTCGCCGCTAGTTACTCTATTGGTGTGTTGTATCTTTGATAACACGGTACGTATAGTGCAATGAATAAAGACGAAAATGCGCATACACCATCTTTGTACGATATATCCTAACAGCGAATTTAGTTGGAGAGAAAAATATTAATTCGAGAAATCCAGTAAGTTGACAACTAATGCAAAGTAGTTATTGAAAGAACTTTTGTCAAATTCTCGATGTTCTCTCGAAAATTACATATTCATGAAAATGAAAGTTTATACATCATGTAACCGGGAAATGATGCTCCTACGTAGTTAATACTTCTTAACTTACAACTAACTCTGATACCATAGTTTCATGTCTTTTTTAAAAAAATTGATCTTCAACGGGTTAAACTATTTTCTGTTGTCTGTCCTTACTCTGTATCGAGATCCTTTACTATTTGTATTCTATCAGCACATCTACCTGCAGTATTGCCGTATCTGTGCGTAAGGATCAAACAGAAATCGAAGATATATTTGAAGGAAGTCAGAAGACACTAAGTGACGTTTCGAAAAGCAGTATTGTAGAAACGACTATTACTTGGACTTTACCTGACAGATAACATCCGATGAGATTTTACACTTAAAAGCCGATCGAACTTTTTTGAAAATGAGAGTTATTAGTTTTGAAAAACATCTAGCATTCTCTGATAGACATTTAAAGGTGTTCTTTTTGCGCTTTATGATTCATCAGATCCTTTTCGGGCAGAAAATACCAGATTTGGCAGATAGAATGTAATTAGCTTTTTTTAACTACAGTTTTTCAGTAAGTTTTCCAATGTCCTGTGAGGATGACATTCGGCTTTTAAGGGTTACTGATGTTTGAATATAAAACTTGGTAATAATATATTATATGTAACTTTCCTCATATAAATAATTGTTCTTTTAAATTTAGATACAATTTAATAGCAAAATTAAGTATTATTCGTGAATGGTTGCCATGGGCAAATTAATACCACAGCCCCAAAAAGCGTTTTTAATTGGAAATTTGAAAGAGGTAGATCCCGCTCATGCTGTGGATTCATTCAAAAGGCTGCACAAACTGTATGGTGATATTTATCGATTAACTATTCTTGGAAAAAGCGCTGTTATAGTGTGTAGCCAAGAAATAGTCGATGTCCTATGTGACGAAACAAAATTTAATAAAAAACTTCATCCAGCCTTGCAAGAACTGCGAGCCGCGGCCGGGGATGGACTCTTTACTGCACACACGTCAGAACCCAACTGGAAACTTGCGCACAAAATCTTAGTATCCGCTTTTGGCTCACATGCAATTCGAGATATGTTTCCAGCTATGATGGATATATGTTCACAACTCATACTTCGGTGGGAACGATATGCTGGAGCAGAAATCGATGTTTGTGATAATTTTACTCGATTAACATTGGATACTATTGCTTTATGCAGTTTCAATTATCGATTTAACAGTTTTTATGAAAAAACAATGCATCATTTCGTCGATGCTATGATTAATGTACTTATAGAAAGTGGTCGACGTGCCGGGCGACTTTCTATACAAAATAAACTTTTGATAAGAACTAATCGACAATACAATGATGATATTAAATATATGCATAATCTATGCGATGAAATTGTTAAAGAAAGACGCGAACATCCAAATAATGTTAATGATCTACTTAATCGAATGATTAATGGTAAAGATCCAGAAACTGGTTATCAATTATCTGATGAGAATATTCGTTATCAAATGCTTACTTTTTTGGTTGCTGGACATGAAACAACATCGGGTCTTCTTTCATTTGCTATGTATTATCTTCTAAAAAATCCTCATTCTTTACAGAAAGTACAAGCAGAAGTGGATCAATATAGCGAAATTACAATTGATACATTAAGCAAATTACAGTATATCGATGCAGTATTGAAAGAAACACTTCGATTACAACCTACAGCACCAGCATTTGTTTTAGAGCCGAAGGAAGACAACATCATTCTGCCTGGTGGGTATATAGTTCCCAAAAACGACGATATTATCGTTTTTTTGCCTCAATTGCATCGCGATCCAAAAGTTTGGGATCGACCCGAAGAATTCTTCCCAGAACGAATGTTGAATGGTGGATTTGAAAAGTTGCCACCAAATTCATGGAAACCTTTTGGTAATGGTCAACGCGGTTGTATTGGTCGGCCTTTTGCATGGCAAGAAAGTCTTCTTGCTATTGCACTTATTGCTAAACATTTTAATATTGAATTTATTGATCCATCTTATGATCTTCGTATTAAAGAATTATTGACAATCAAACCTGAAGGATTTAAAATACGGGTTCGATCACGCCGACAAGCAGAAATTTCACTTGATTCAAATATCAAACAATCTGAAATGGCATCTGAAAAAAAATTCAAACAACAAGCTGATCCAAATCATCTTCGACCAATGACTATCCTTTTTGGTAGTAATTCTGGTTCTTGTGAATCTTTTGCAGGAACACTAGCATCTGAAGCACCTCTTTATAGTTACAATGCCACT